ACAAATACCTACCTCTTAATTTTCCCACATGAACTTTAGCCAACCTTTTTCCCCTAATCGAACAAATAACTAGTCAAACAAACCAAAACAACCGCTAAAGACCAAGTACAAGATACACTTCAGAACAACTCTCGTCATTACCCATACCTTTAAAAGATATGTATGCCAAACTGTTAAGCATTGGACACGTAGCTCCTATTCCTGCACTACCACTACAACTACCACTACTAATTTGGTACAAGCCCGAGTTGACTTGCGAGTACCACGCCAACAATCTCGGGCATGAGATTGAAACTTGCTATGCCATAGTTTATTAAGATAGAATGAGTATCATTCGAAGACAAACTCAATGTTAATTCAAACTCGTTGCTTAAACCTACCACAAGTAGTAGTGGAGTGGGCATAATAGGAGTTGAAAATCAAAGCAAGGTGGTAACGGTGTCTATGAATAAGTTGTATGACATATTGGTGCAATCAGGACTTCTAGAGATAAACATGGAATGTCATTTAGAGGGATGTGATTATTGTGAGTTCCATAGAGGAGAGGGACATCATATTGAGGATCCAAGACATGGAACATAAAACCATGAAGCATTTAGTAGGGAGGATCCATGCAACTAATTACCTCTATTTCACAGTTAATGAGCTTGATGCTAAAGGTACCGGACATCACAAGCCCTTATATATTACTGTTAAGTGCAAAGACTGTCTCATAGGAAAAGTACTCATCGACAATGTCTCGGCTCTCAACGTGTTGCCAAAACACTTTCTAAAAGAAATACTGATCGATAAATCTCATATGAAGTCAAGTACTATGATAGTCAGAGCATATAATGGTTCACCCATGCCAATAATTGAGACTTTAAAAGTGGAGCTATATATGGGGCCACAAATGTTCCTAGTGACGCTTTAAGTTATGGATATCCACCTTTCCTATAGTATGTTGTTAGGAAGACTTTAGATTCATGCAGTGGGGGTGGTAACTCCATCATTACTTGAAGTATTTCATGAACTGGATGTTGGTAACTGTCAAAGCCTAGGAGATAGTATCCATGCTAAAGAATGTGGATGTACCTTTCATCGAGGTGAAGGATGGAAATGATAACAATATCCATGCTTTTCAAATCGTGCACACTGACAGGGTGCCTGAGAACATAGTACTAAGAAGGCCAAGGATCTCAAATGTAGCAAGGATGGCAACTCAATGCTTCTTGGAACACGGGATACCATTTCAGTATAACCCTATCACCGAAGTACCAGAATGAGTTAATCCGATAAAGATAAAATATATTGACCAAAGATTTAGGTTGGGGTATACACCTAACAACGAGAATCATCGGTGGGCTACTGACCTGAGGAGGGAAAGAAGAATGACTAGAATTGAAGGAAGAGAGCCTGAAGAAAAAAGACTAGAAATCCCTCCCCTTATAGTGTCATTCCCAAAAACACTATATGTAATGCAACCCGATAAAAGAGTAGAATGTCTTGATCAAAGCCTATCAAATATGAGCATAAACACCTTGGGAGAAAATAGTGTGGATAGAGGTGACATGAAGACATTAACAGGAAAGAGAGATGATGTGTTACCATAACTAATCGTCCACGCACTACAAGAAGTCCCCACCAAGACCTTTATGCTTAAGTTGGCTTAGGGTGAGAAGTTTCAAAACTGGGTAACCAAAGAAGCTTTGGAATCCTAAAAGTGGGTCTCCTATAACATCACATACATTTAGCATCAAGAATAAATGGCCAAACTCGATCAAACATGTGATAGCCATGAAAAAAAAGAATGGGATAAAAGCAATATCAGTGAATTCACCAAGCTAGTAGAATAACGGGAACAAACTTGGAAACCCGCCAAAGAAGAACTCAAAACCATTAATGTCGGTGGTGATCAACTCAAGAATATAGGTACCTTAATCACTTCTGAAAAAAGGATGGAAATGATTGCCCTATTACAAGAATATTCAGATGCCTTTGCTTGGTCCTATGAAGATATGCTTGGTCTGGATACAAATATTGTAGTACATAAGATACCATTGGAAGAAGGTTGTAAACCAGTCAAGCAGAAGCTAAAAAAAAAAAAGAGGCCCACCCAGATATCTACATCAAGGTTAAGGTAGAACTTGAGAAGCAGTGGGATGCTAGCTTCTTAGAAGTACTTAGATTTTCACAATGGGTATCTAACATTGTTGTGGTGCCCAAAAAGGAGGGGAAGATTAAAGTTTATGTGGACTTCTAGAATTTGAATAGAGCTAGCCTTAAGGATGATTTTCCTCTACCATAAATAGATGTTTTGGTGGACAACGTTGTCTAAAGTTCCATATATTCCTTTATGAATGGTTTTTCAGGATACAACTAGATAAAAATAGCTTCAAAGGATAAGGCGAAAACAACTTTTATCACACCTTGGGGGGCATACTGCTACAAGGTTATGCCATTTGATTTGAAGAATGCAGGAGCAACATATTAAAAAGCAATGGTGACTCTGTTCCACGACATGATGTACAAGGAAATCGAAGTGTATGTAGATGATAAGATTGTTAAGTCTAAAAAGAGAGAAGATCATGTTGGGGTTTTGAGGAAGTTATTTGAGAGGTTGAGGAAGTATGAATTAAGGCTCAATCCTGCAAAATGTTCATTCGGAGTTAAATCAGGTAAGCTACTGGGATTTGTGGTAAGTGATAGAGGTATAGAGGTGGATCTAGATAAAAAAAGGGTCATTCAAGCTATGTCATCCCTTAAGATGGAGAAAGAAGTAAGGGGATTTTTTGGGAAAATTAAACTATATTGCTTGGTTTATAACTCAGTTAACAACAACATGTGAACCTATATTCTAATTATTAAGGAAAAAGAATCCTAGAACTTGGAATGAGAAGTGTGAGGAAGCATTCAATAAAGTCAAATATTATTTACAAAATCCACCTATACTGGTTCCTTCAGTATCAAGAAAACCTCTGGTATTATATCTAATAGTAACCAAAGCAGCCATAGGATGTGTATTGTGTCAGCATGATGAAATAAAAAAAAAAAAGGAAAGAGTTATTGCCTAAGTAAGAAACTCACCGAATGTGAGTCTAGATATACTAAGATAGAGAGGCTTTGTTGTACGCTGGTGTGGGCGGCAAAGAGATTACGACATTATATGTTATACTATACTATTTGGTTAATTTCAAAAGTGGATCCTCTGAGAGAAACCCGTAAAAGGAAGTATAATTGCGGACCGTTTGGCTGATAGTGTTGTTGAAGATTACAAACCTTTGGATTTTGATTTTCTAATGAAGATAGATGGTTTATAGAGAAAGAAGAGGAGAAGACAGATTGGTAGACCATGTTTTGTGATGGGGCAGTGAATGTATATGGTAACGGGGCCAGTGCGGTAATAATCGCTCCCTATAAGAAATAGTATCCAGTTTTGGTTAAACTGCACTTCGAGTGCACCAACAATACAACTAAGTATGAAGCTTGTATCCTTGGTTTAGAAGCGGCATTAGAGTTAGAGATAAAGAAGATAGATGTATATGGGGATTCAATGTTGATTATCTGTCAAGTTAAAGGGGAATGGCAGATCAAGGAAGAAAAGTTAAGGCCTTACCAAGAATATCTATCCACACTAGCAAAGGAATTTGAAGAGATTAAATTCACCCATCTAGGAAGGGAGGGGAACCATTTTGCGGATGCTTTGGCCACGCTAGCTGCTATGACTACCATTGCTCTCAAATACAAGGTACAACCTGTACACATTGACAATAGAAATGATCTAGCTTACTATTGCTTAGATGAAGGAGAAATAGGCGAAATGAATCTCTTCTTTATAAAAGCTCAAACTAGGATCACATCCCCACACTAGGGGGCAAACATAGATATCTCATGAAAAGTTTTACGTGTTTGAAATGGGATGAAAGCTTGTCGATTTGAAAAAATAAGTTAAAGCATTTGACAAAAGCATGAAAAAAAAAGGCAATGACAAATCATACATTTTGGAAAAAGCTACT